GGGGGGCAGCCTGTGGAGTCAGGGGCTCCCTCGCGGTTGCATGGGTCGGGGTTCCCAGGGAACACCCCCAGGAGATTACTGAGTGAGCGTGAGGAACGTCTCCAAGGACTGCCCCAGCAGACCCAGTGTGGGTCTGGGCGCTGGAGAGGAAGATGAGGGAGATCTGCCGGATTTGTGCCCGGGAGCTCTACGGCAACCAGAGACGCTGGATTTTCCACACAGCCACCAAGCTCAACTTGCAGGTGCTGCTCTCCCACGTCCTGGGCAAGGAGCTCTGCCGAGATGGCAAACCCGAGTTTGCCTGCAGCAAGTGTGCGTTCATGCTGGACCGCATCTACCGCTTCGACACGGTCATCGCGCGCATCGAAGCCCTCTCCATCGAGCGCTTGCAGAAACTGCTGCAGGAGAAAGATCGCCTCAAGTTCTGCATTGCCAGCATGTATCGGAGGAATAACGAGGACTCTGGCCCTGAGGACAGAGTTGGTGGGGATGCCACCGTGGACATATCTGGCCTGCCTGATCTCAGATACACGGCCCTCCTTCAGGAGGACTTTGCCTATTCTGGATTGGAATGCTGGACAGAACATGAGGAGCAGTCCCCCGAACCGCCCAGCTGGCACGCTTCGGAGGGTGCGGGGAGCCGCCCACGGCGGTGCCACGGCTGTGCTGTGCTGCGTGTTGCAGATGCCGACTATGAAGCAATTTGCAAAGTCCCACGAAAGGTGGCCAGGAGTATCTCCTGTGGGCCCTCCACCAGGTGGTCAGCTAGCATATGCAATGAGGACTCCTCCGTCTGTGAACCTGGAGCTGCTGACTTGGCTAGTGCCCAGGTGCCTGTGGAAGAAGAAAGCATGGAGGAGGGGACTCCTGGGTCCTCAGTTGAGTCCTTGGACACGACAGTGGAGGTCAGCCCTCCGCGACAGAAGGATGAGGAAGCCGACCAAGGCGTGAAAGGGGGTGGGAAGTGGGATGTTTGCTCAGATGGCGGCACCACTCCAAACTCCTCCTTGAGTGGGAATAGGCTGGAGCTAGCCCTCCGCCTGATCAAAGCTTTTGACTACAAGCCTGTTCAGAGTCCCAGAGGGAGCAGATTACCTATTCTGGTCAAGTCCATCCTGCCATGCTCCACGCCTAGCCATCACCTGCGGGACGGGAGTGCTCTTCCTGGCTCCGTGAATGTTGGGTCTGGCTTCCTCAGTGCAGCCCCAAAGCCCTTCCCCTTGGAGCTGTCTGACCTGCAGGAGCTGTGGGACGATCTCTGTGAAGATTATTTGCCACTTCGGGTACAGGTTGAGGTCAGTGTGCAACAGTAACAACATACTGGCTCTGAGACCACTGTGGCTTCAGAATATGGGTAGCTTCTGTGTAGAAATAGGTAGCTGTGCCCTCCTTGCAGTCCATTCCTTTCCCATCACCAGGTATCGTCCTCATACTCTGAAAAAGCGAGCCCTCTGCAGTTTTGTGTCCCTGTTTCTCTCTCTCCTCCTCCGTCTCTGGGCTCTATACTAGCGTGGGTCTGAGATTTGGTTTGCCTCTTTTCCTACCAAGCAAATACCATTTCTTTATTTTCTCTTGCTGTTGTCTAAGTTGATTTAAATTGAAGAGTTCTACTAAACAGGATCTTCTAAGCTGTCAGCGACCTCTTCTACTATAAGTGCTGTTTGGGCCTTTGTAACTGCTCTGTTCTGCTGTATCAGGGTTTTCCCTCCTCAGAGAGAGTCCTAATCTTCACTCGGGATCAGTCATCAACTGTACGCAGCCCACAGAGGTACCCTGGTATGTTACCTACAGAGATCACAGCTGGAGGATTCTCTGCATCTTGGGGCCTTCAAAGTATTTGAAGGCTTCAATATCTGAGACATAGGTGAGAGGATTATTCTAGGAGGGGTGGGTGAGATTCTGTGGCCTGCACTGTGCAGGGGGTCAGACTAGATGATCAGAATGGTCCCTTCTGACCTTAAAGTCTATGAGTCTATGAGATGATGATGGTCCTGTGAGTTGTGGCTTTCAGGGGAATTCCAGGAGTCTTGCCCACTGTGTAGATTTCAGTTCACATATAGCTGTGGATTTTCTCTGCTTTGCCAGGCTTCAAAATCCTGGTTAGTATGTGGCCAGAAGATGACACCTGTGATTACTTTACCTCTTTTGTTAATGAGCAGAAAGCCTCAGTCAACCTCAATTCAGGACTATCCATGTCAGTCTAATTGCATTCGCATTAGCAGTCTTAGTGCTGTCTAATGTGCCAGCTAGCCTCCGGGACTGGAAAGATGCTTGTTTGTTCCTATGGCAACAGTAGCCATTGGATATGTTTCTTATTCCATGAGTACTGCTGAATCTCTTTGTCATCTGGAATTTTCCAGGGGTGTGTACTCTTTCTGGATCTGCTCTGACACGGCTTCATTGATAGGCTAGAAATTATGCTCTGGAGCAATATAAACTGGAAAAAAAGCAACACATTCAGAGCTGAGCCTGCCAATCCACTTGCAGCTTGTTTTTGAAGATTTGCTGGCACCGAGTGATGGTGGGGGGGGGGAGCAATGAAAAACTTTCTACTGCTCTGGTCTAGTTTCTGCTCATTTTTCGTTATTGGGGACATTTGTATAGGATCTTTTTCTTTGATGCACATCTTCTAGAGTGGAGCCAACATTAATTTTTAGGCGGATTTAAACCTTTTGATTTTTCTCTCGGGTCTTACCATCTTCTCCAAGTTCCTTAAGGCTTTTTCTAAACTCCGGTCTGTCACATGTCTGCTTCTGCAGTGAATTGAGTTCAGTTTGCAGCCTCCCATTTCTTACCATGGCAACAAAATGTTATCACCGGCACATAGTGATTTCACTGCTGGGTCTGGCAGAAGGGGGAAGCTGTTACTCGCACTCTAAGTCACTTTAATGCTAAAAATGGAAAGCCAGACAGTTGCCAGCAAAGTAAATTGTTTTGTTTACAAATGGTTTTCCCCTTTTTGCCCCAGTATGAAAACAGCTCTTCAGTTGCCAGATACCGTGCATTGTAGCATGGAAATCTGCTGGCCAAGGGTGCTGTGTTGCCGTAAGAGGCTGATTTGCTTCTTGGCTTTAGTTTTTGCCTGGAACCTCAGTTTTTTTAGGTTTGTTCATGACAGTTATGATGCTTCGGAGCATGATGCTCTGAGAGAGAAGACTCCTTAGGCCTGGTTGGTTACTGGCATTTTCTGGACAGCATGAAAACTGTGCAGGTCCAGAGATGACGCCCACGACAGCAGTAGGAATATTAGCACCAGTGACTTCTCCAGTGTTCTGTGTGAACCTGCTCTCCACAAGATTAGACGACATGGTGGTTATGAAAGGCAGGTGGCCAGTCCACACTTCTGCTGCAGCTGCACTTGGGGTGGGTGGGGGGAGGACTTAAAGTACCAATGTAGAAAAAATTCTGGGAAGCAAACATCCTATTTTTGCTGCTATTGTTGAGGAGGAAAGCGAGTTTATGCTTTTCCTCATGCCTTGCCAGCTCCCTAACTCTAAAGAGCTACAGTCTGCCTCCTGTAAGGTATGCTTGCAGCTGCCTCTGTCTCTGCTCAAGGCCCTGTGGTCAGGTCAGCTAGAACAGTGCCCAGATAGCATAATGCAAAGAGCTTTATTAAAACCTTTCCAGCTGTCCATGGCACTTGTTCAGAAGTGATTGCTCTCAGCCAAGCAAAGGCCCTTGTCCCTGCTGAGAACTACACCTGGACCAAGTTCCAAAGCTCAGCGCAAACGATCGGTGTTAAACCTTTTACGTTTCTTATGTGGGACAGGATGTTACGCTCTTAAAAACTACGAATGCAGAGGGACTGAAGAACCAGCGCTTATTGGTTTTTCTAACCACTAACTGTGCCTGTGATGCAGCAGCTAGCTGGTATCATCTGGTTGAGATGGGGGTGGTCGATGATTTGGGCCACCTTTGGTCCTTGTTGCTCAGATGCACAGAGCTCCTTGCATTGCTTCCTAGCAGCCTGGCTCTTGCTAACAGCCTCCTCATAGAAGATGGGTCATCTCTGGCTGTCAGAGTTGCCTTAAGAATCCTTCCCCCCTTTCTCTGCTCTTCAGCCCACAGCTCTTGCTGTTCCATCCTTCAGAGGTCGAGCACGCTCATCAGTGGTTCTTGGCTTCTCTCTGCACTTCCCCGGGGAGCCAGGACAGAATGCAGTGCTGCCTCTGCAGCGCTTGCTCTGTGGTTGATTTGCATTGCGTGTATCCGGGTCAGTGCCCCACCCTGCTGCTGGCATACAAGCACACAGGGCCCAGCCTCCCAGCGCTGAGAGGCTGGGCTGAAATTGAACACACTTCAGGAGTTGGGGCAGGAAGGCATACCGCCTCCAGGCAAAGTGCTGGCTGTAGGCTTGTTGGTTCCGTTTCTGTTCCCTGTAGCTTATTTTAGAGGAATGGAGGGAGAGCAAATGAGAGGAGGGGGTGAGACAGGAGCAGAGACGTGGTGGAGGAGGATGAAAGGAAGGTCGTTGAGGGGTGGGGGAGTAGGCATCAAGGAAGAGGAGGAGTATTGGATGGGGCTGGGGGTGAGATGGGGGGGAAAGCAGGAGGAGGCTGGCCACTGGCTCTTGTTTACTCTCTGCTGATTGGTTTTTGGTTCCAAAGGATGAAGAGCAGTGGGCTGCCCCAGGCATTCAGGGCTATTACTGGGGCGTGCCTGCCGCATTGAGGGACCCATTTCCTATGGTCACGGGAGACAGGCCGAGTCAAAGCGAGCTGCCGTTGTCTCCTTGCTCCGGCTCCGGTAGCGAAGTTGGGCAGTGGCTGTGTTTCCTGGATAACCGTTGTCGAGTATTGCTGCTGATCCGCTGGGTATGAAGCCAGCCCTAAAGAGCTTCCGGGCTAGTTAGACACTTCTCAGGCCACCCCTCTCCTCTCTCTCCTCTCTCCAGAATCTGCTTGAAGACCACGAGCAGCCGACTCAGAGTGACCCTGTGGCGAGTGGGCGAGTGTCTGAGCTGCAGGGCAGCATCCAGCAGTACGAGGCCACCACCAAGGTATCTGTTCGCTAGCAGTGTGCTCAGCTCCTGGCGGAGGCTCGGTCATGTTAATTAGCAGTGATTGTGCAGTGTCGCTGCAGGTGCCTGGAAGCTGCCCAGACTGCTGTTGGCCTTCAGCCAGGTTAGGAAGAGCTTCCCTACCCGTAGCTATGCTGGACCGCCTCCTTCCGCTGCCCGCGCTAAAGCCGTGTTGGGCAGGTCTTCCTCTACGTCGGGGGCTCTGTAAGGTCACTAGTGGAGCAGAGCCATGCAGGCTCTTTCCTCCCACTGCCTGCCCTCCCCCTCCGGCTTCTTGGCTTCTCCTAATCCTAGGAGATGATGGGTTGGGAGAGAGCTCAGGGGTAGGGATGTGAAATCCCGCTTAGCTGGTAAACAAGCTACGTGTAAGGTTTAAGTGGCTAACCAGTTAAAGAGGGAGTGGGCCGGCTGGAGCGCGCTCTCCCTGCTGCAGGCGGGGGTTCTCCAGCTGGGCTGGAGTGTCCCTGCCCTCTGCAGGCCCTGTGGGGCTGGAACAGCGCCCACAGGTTAACCAGAAGCAGTAGGGCTCGCCCGTTAAGGCCACTGGGGAGCATTGGGGGAGGAGTGTGGTATTAAAGCTGTAGAGACATTTACCTTGTCATAAAGAGTTTAAGAGGTAACATTTAAAACTGCTTCAGATCCTTTTCTTGAGCAACTTCATCTGTGGAAGCCTCCTCCCTGTGCACTTGCTCAGCAGGATTGAGGAGCCGTATCGTCTGTTCCTCACGCAGTAGTAGGGTCAAAGCGTAGGGGGCACGTTGGCACTCGGGTTCCAGGCCGTACGCCAGCCTTCCCTCCAGCCATGCTGGTACAGAACTTGCCTCCCGTGGCTCTCTGTGTCCGGGAGCCTGGCACTTGGGCTGGATGGGCCGTGCGTGTGTGGGAGCAGGGTGACAGGAAGAGGGAGGGGCTGGATGGGTGCAGCTGCCCGGAGCAAGGGAGGAGGGGTGTAAACATGCCACCATATTGCTCTAGCTGAACAGCCTGAGCTAGGGGAAAGGAAGTGTCCTCTGGCATGTGCGGGTTCTTTTGCACAGGTTCCAGGGGTGTCCAGGGCTGCAGGCAGGGCCTGGGGAAACACGGTTGCGAGTGGGAAGGGTATTGAGTTGCTGGGTGTCAGACAGTCAGCAGGGCTCTGCTGGGGGAAGCAGAGTGTGGGGATGCCTGGGGTTGAGGCCAGGGTTCCAGCCCCTCGACTTGCTGGATCACTGCGGGTGCTGCCTTGGCCCCGATGTGGGAAGGGAAGGCCTTGCATTGACCTGTAGCTACGCTCAGGAGCCGCAGCGCCAGACTTCGGAGGGCGTCAGTGGGCCTGGTCTGGGGAAGTGCAGAGGAACCTCCAGGCTCAGAGATTCTCCGGGGCAGGTGGCTGAAGTACTGGGCTGGTAAGCTAACCGCGCTGCTCTCTGTGCTCAGTTGCTGCAGGAGAAGCTAGATGAGCTGAATTTTGAATTAAACTCTGTCCAGAAAGCATCGCAGAGACAAGAGCGTACGATCCAGAGCCTGAGCGAGGCCCTGCGGAGCAGAGAGCGTGAGGTCGGTAGCGCTGCGGGGGAGGGCTGTGCCCGGGGATAGAAATGCGGGGCAGGGAAGCATGCTATTCAAGGCGGCAGAATCCCTCGGCCTTCCACCAGCCCTGTGGGCTTTGCTGCTTTCTGCCGTGCCGGGCTTCTGGCAGGGGGCTTGCTGACGGTTGGGTGTCCTTGCAGACAGAGGAGCTGTACCAGGTGATTGACAGGCAGAATGAGGCCATGGCCAAACTACAGGACACGTTACAGAGAAGCCAGCTGGGGCACTTGCAGGTACGTCCCTTTGGGCCCCTCCGTCCTGTGGGAGCGAGGGACCTTTGCCTTGAAAAGAAAACGGGAGAGCCTGGAGTTCCTGCATCCTTCTGAACAGCTCTAGCGAGCTCAGGCTTAGACACTCTCCCATTGCTGCCATTCTCTCATCAGGCCTCGGAGGGTCCACCCCCTTCCCAGCAGCAGCTGGCACTGCTAGATCTGCAGAACACGCTCTTCTGCACCCAGCTGGAGGTGCAGAAGCTGCAGAGGGCTCAGCGGCAGAAGGAACACCAACTGGCTGAAGCCAGGAGAGCTACCCAGCTCCTGGAGGCTGATGTGCAGGAGGAACAGCAGCTGAAAGAGGTGTCCTGGAAACACAACCAGGTACGGCCTCAGGCCACGTGTATATGACAGTGAAAGGTGTGTTTTGCAACGGCTTTCCTCGGTCAGGCTTCTGTTAGCTGAGTATGCCGTGCCGTCTCTGTTTCATGGGTAGTACCTTCCCACGGCCAGCGCAGAGACGGACCACAGGGCATCAGTGTCGTGGTGTCCCTCCCTGGTGTGTTCGAACTGCTGCAGGTGTCCTGTTGCCTTTTGTAACGCCCTGGTGCTGTGTCCGCAGTGCGTTAGCAGGGACAGCCTCGAAACCTTCCCCTCTGGCGAGAATAGGGGCTTTTACAAAGGGTTCCAACATGCACACACAGGACAAAGTGTATCGGTTTTCAAGTTGTGTGGAAACTCAGCTGATTGTCACTGTGTGGAAGTGCAACTCCCTAATTCCAGCTGCTCATCAGTTTCACTGCCAAGCTTTTGTGATGGACCCGCTCTGATAGTGACTTTCTGGAGTAGCGCTGCTCTTGAGCTGGACTCCACATAGTGCATCGGACTCGGGAAAGAGGCACGTGGCTGGTGTTCAGTGAGAAGTGGGCGCTTTGAGATGGGCCGATTTTGAGTGTAAACATCCCTGTAATTGTCATTGCAATTCCAAAGGTGTAGTACAGGTTGAAACTCTTAACCGAACCACAGTTGTTCCAGGACCAGAGTCCCAGTGGAGGGCTAGCGCCTGGGAGCCTGCAGGCTGGCTGGGCAGCGGTAGCCCCACACGCGGCAGCAGGAGCTCGGTGCGCAGAGGGCAGCAGGGGCTGACAGGGCAGCGGGACTACCAAGAGGGCAGAGCCAGCTGGGAGAGCAGTGGTCAAGCCAGGGCTGGAGGGGGCTAGCGGCAGGGGGTCCAGAAATGACCACCTCTGATCCAGCAAAATCCCTCATCCGGGACAGGGTCAGGTCCCAAGGGTGCCGGACCAGGGATGTCCAACCTGTACTGCGTTTGAACGTTTGCTCTGGTGGCGGTGCATGTTGGGGGGTAACCAGATGTGTCTGTGTAGGGCTGTATTCAGCCCCGAAACGATGGCGGGATGGAATAGGGATGTCCCACCTGAGACTGACTCAGCCACCTGTCCACACCAGCCTCGCCGGAGCTCTGTCCATGAGCAGTGGAGCCCTTTCTCCATCCGTCTGCGTGCTGCATGTGCGCTGAGCCTGGCTCCCGTAAGCCGAGCACATGGGCGTGTGCTCTGTGTGCTTGCCAAGGGTTAGCCCACCAACCAGGTCTGGCTCTGGTTTCTGATCGGAATGTCAGCCCGGCCTGCCCGTAACGTGAGCGTCCGCCGGACAGCAGCAGCTTGCAAGGGCGTGTCTGTGTCTGGTGTGCGGGGCTGATGGCCTCCTGTTAGCCTTTTGCCTTCTCAGGGGCAGCGAGGGCCGTCGGGCAAAGAAGTGAGACGTGTTTCCTTGCAGGAGCTGCGCAAGTCTGTGCAGCAGGCACAAGCAGAGCTGCAGGGCCAGGCTCAGCAGCTGCAGGCTCTGGAGGGGGAGAGGTGCCGTGAGATCCGGGCCCAGGAGCAGCGCGTTCAGCATTTGAGCCAGAGGCTGGCTCACAAGGAGCAGCTTCTGCAGGTGAGGAGACCCACGATGCCTCTCACCTTGGTATTTGGGTGCCAGCAACCACATGGCCTGCCCGCTGAGAGACTGGAGTGCAGGAGCGAG